CAATCGTAAAGTGATCAGAGTTGTAATGTTAATTTGTTTTGCCTGAAGCAAGATATGCTGTTTTTTTCATCTGTTTTTTTTTTTTTTTTAAGTATTTCATTAACCTTTAAATCACCTGTATATTTTTTTCTCTGGTAATTGATTTTTCAATTAAGCAAGTTAAAAAAGAGTGACAAAAGGTTGCCATTTGTCAAAAACAAATTACTTTTGATTTGATATTGGATTTTTCAACCTGGTTTTCCCCTGTCAGTTATGCAGGTAAGAGGGGCTGACAAGGAAAAAGCGTCTAGTCGTTCGGATGAGACAATAACCCAAGGCCCTGTGTGCTACAGGCTGTGCACGTTAAAGATCCCTCGACAGTTGGAAATCAAAAAAGAGCAGGTAAATGCTGCTGTCCTGGCAAAATTTCCCTCATGGCACCCTGCATGGCATTGCCCTTTTTCATTAGCCCACATGGTGCAGAAAAGTAGGATGTAAAACTCCATTCATTTCATTTCATTTTGATTTGATTTTATTCATTTAGTTAAGGTATAGTGTGGAAGTATGTTCGTTTAGGTTAACACAACCCAGCAACTGATCAGGCTTCTACCAGATGCTGCCATTTCCTAGCTATCTTTGAAAATCATGTTGCTTTAAGACTCTACTAGCCAAATATCGACATGAGCCCCCTGAATGGGAGTAAAGACAGTTACTATTTAAAATTCGCTCACTGGACAACTGCTCACCAAATATATGAGAAATAGTAAAATTGCTCACCACAAACTTACAATTGTCTGGTGAGCAACTGTCAGGTTAACATTTGTACACTTTCATATACTACCCTCAATGATATGATGCAAAGCAATTGATTTTGGAGGGTGGCCTATGAAAAAACAGTGTATAAACATATAGTAGCCTAATCAATGTGTTATGATATGATATATTATGATAATAAAACTTATCAGGTCCACCAGGTGTTATTTACAAAGAGACAAGGTGTAAATTATCATGTTAATCATGTATATTGATAACATATATCAAAGTTTTACCTGATAATTATTGTTACTTATTGTCTTTTTACTTTCCCTTTAGCCAAATTTGCTCGGTGAGTTAGACGATTGCTGGCTAACCTGAAGGATCAAGATAATACCTTTGGATTATCCACGTTTCCCCCTGTTAATAATGCAGGTCTGAGGGAATGTCAGAGAAAAAGTGGATAGTTATTCAATTGGAACAATATATTGGGGTCCTGTGTTCTACAGGCTGTGTAGCCTAAATTAAAGATCTCTCAACAGTTCAAAATCTAAAAAAAAAAGTAAGCCGTCCAATCAAACTTTCCCTCATTGACACTGCATGATGCAGTAAAATAGGACGTAAAACTCAGTTTCATTTCATTTTTTAGACTTTGAGCGTCAAACTTGTGTTAGCTACCAGCTAAGTCAACTCTGTGAGTCCATACGGCTGATGAAGTTTGTTTGGTTCAATTCTTCAATCCTTTGCACCTGATCCAGGTGTTAAAAACATCAATAGACAAAACCATGTAATCTATTTGTTAAACATCTTAATTACAAGGTGATTATCTGCCTTGTCTAATTACTCTGACCTGAGAGTTGACATGTTAGATAACTCTAATGAATACTCTCAGGTGGTCAACATGGTTGTCGACACGTCTGTTGGGGTTTAAATATAATCTTTGATGTCCACTGTAGATTTTATTGCCATCTTTTTTTCTGACAAAGTTTATCTGATAATGACTTAACTTTGGCCAAAAGGCCTACAAAACATTTAATAGAAGCTTAATATTTTCCAATGCATTTGGGAAAGCTGGAAGACCTCTGTGTCCCTGAGTTAGCTCTATTTGTAAAAGATGTATACTGTTCTCTTTTTGTGACCTTGGCCAGTGCTTCTCCAACACCCAATACCATGCTCTTATCTATCTTTGATTCAATTCAAGGTAGTACAGATTCAGAAAATTTCAAACTTGATTTATATTAGCAGTGTCCTCCCATAGGTTAGACATCCCATGTAAGCTATGCTATACCTTACCCCCTAATTCAGTTAACAAGTCCTACTATCTGGTGACATAGTAAAGATATATAAGGGAGTTGGTAGAGATAGTGTATATTTATACTAGAAGTTCAGACTAGGGTTAAAAGCATGTAAATGGAGAAAGATAAACCTTTACACGAGTCTATTATTAATGCATTATATTATACACTACTTGTGTTTGTTTTGGTTTGAGATATTAACTTTATAAGATAGGTTTGAAATGAAATAGAGTTTTACATCCTACTGTTCTATATTGTATATACATATATAAGGACTTTAAAATAGGAAAGTTTTATTAACTTTATAAGATAAAGTAGAATTGAATGGAGTTTTACTTCGTACTATCCTGTTATTGTATATACAGTACATGTATACCACTGAGGCCTTCAAATTAGGGAAATTCTGTTTGATACAGGTAAATTTGTGTTCAAGAGCGGTAAATTTGTGTTCAAAATGGGTTAATGCCTGTGAATAGTTTAGCAAACTAGTTTTGATGGTAAAAATAAATAACTTGAGGCTAAGATACCTACAGTTTGTTATAAATAAAAGATATTTTAAAATCTGATGTAATATCAAACAGTCCTAGAGGCCTCACATTTTTTTTAGAATATTTTAACAATTTATCAAAATACTGCTTGGATATACCTTTTATTAATTAGGCAAAAACATATATAACATATTAAACTCATCATAATTTTGTGTTGTCAAGGTTAGGTTTTCAAGAATTTTTCATGAAGAAAACTGTGTGTTCTCAATATTTTTAAAACTGAAATGAAATAAAAATGAAATGAACCCTCATCACCTTTAAAGTCTTATAATTTTTAATAAATGTTTGAATTTGATGTGTTGATATATCATTATTTATATGAATAGTTTTAAGATTTGAAAGACATTTAGAAGTGGAGAGTAGATATAACAAAAAACACAAGGGGTATATTATGGTATAACACACTTCTTTAATAACAAAGCACATAATGTGTCAACACAATTTACACGTGTCGTCATTACATGAAAAAAAAAAAAAATGAATAATTTTAACTACATCAATCTTATCTAATTTGGTGTTTTCCTATTTTAATAATTTGGTGTTTTCCTATTTTAATAATTTGGTGTTTTCCTATTTTAATAATTTGGTGTTTTCCTATTTTAATAGTATTTTTTTTTTTTTAATTCTATATTTTTATGTGAACTTAACTTAACCTGTTAAGAACATTTTCGATTTTTTCAATTTAGATTTTCTTTGATGTCTGATATTAATTTAGATTTAAATTGTGAGTCTGTATTGTGAAATCTATTATGTGGTTAAATTACACCATCAAATTCAGGACTATTTTCACCTTAAAGAAGATTTGAGGGTAATATGAGTAGGTCTGTACAGACAAAGTCAAGTACATAACCTTGATCAGTTCAATGACATATTTAAAACACAAATCATTGATGTAGGTCTGAGGGGTAACGTGGTAAAAGCAGCTAGTCATTCAGGTGAGATAAAAAAATTGAAGCTGTGTGCTTCAGATTGTGCATATTAAAGATCTCTTGACAGCTGAATGTGATAATGACTGATGCTACTAGCAAAATTGACAAGGGATACTGAGCTATAAAGAACTGAGGTCAACCTTTTGTAATGTAGTGGGTAAAACTTAATAGCATATTTTGATCTTCCCATGATTGCTTCCTACTCTTGTGATACCAGTGACTCTGACCCTGGCCTGTTCATTCTAAACAAAAGTACGTACATTAGCAACTGAACGACAGGCAAGGGAGCCAACCTTTTCTGACATAGGGGAAAAACTTATTCTTGGTAGACATTCCGTGGGTGCTTCTCCAACTTCTGGTTAAATGTGTTCACAATGTCAAGCTATTGCGAACTTCATCTGCATCATGGAATGAAGCAAGTTGATGGGATTGTATGCTAGAAAATACAGCCAATCAGAGCCCTCGACAGACAGACTATTAACATTATGGCTTATTGTTTACAGACTTTCGAGGCCTCTGATTGATTGTATTCACTAGCCTACAATCCAATCAAATCACTCCATTATTAAACTTCAGTGACACAAGAAAGGTGGCCATTGCGGTCAAAGTATAAGATACAGTTCACAATAGCTTGACAGTGTGAAGATGGTCAGATTAAAGACGCACTAAGTGTCTGAGAGATCTCAAGAACTTATTTCCTCCCACTGATGGGATTTGTCTAGTTTAAATATGAATAGTTAAGGAAATGTTGAGTAAAAGTACAGTGAATATAAAGACTATAGTGGAGTGAAATGGGAGTTATAGTAATATAAGAATGACAAGAGTCAATATAGACACAAGATCTAGTATTTGTTAATTGAAGCAGGTTTATCAACAAAGACCGTACAACCAAACAATCTCTCTCTTATTGTTACTCTTACTTTAAGATTGAAATGGTCGTGTAATTGTTTACTTTACCAGCTGATTAAGCTCAATTTAAACCATTCGTATTACTTGAAATGAAACAGGGTTTTACATCTTAAGTTTCTGCACCTGTATAGGCTAATGAGGATGGGCACTTCCATGTAGTTTGTATAAGATTTTGCCAGGACAGCAGCATTATAGCCTACTCTTTTTCAATTTCCAACTGTCAAGGAATCTTTAACTGAGAGAGCCTGTAGCACAAATGGCTTCAGTTTATTGTTCTGTCTGAATAATTAAATGCTTATGACATGTGAGCCCCTCCAACCAGCATCACTGATAGGAGATTTATTTAACAGTTTGACTGTTCAGCTAATGTTAACCGTTTAATTCTTGGCAAATTTCCCTCATTGCACACTGCAAGGCATTAACTATCTTAATTCGACTAATCAGTCAAAAGTAGAAATACAAACCTTCGTTTCTCTTGATTTGATTTCTTGTTGCATTTCATGTATGCAACCAGGTAACAATAATGCAGTGAAGTTTTCCCAAAAATATCTGACAAACTTTTGAAATTGATAATTTTCTATTTCCAGGGGCAGCAGAAGGAGGTAAAAGTACCCTGGTGAAACAGATGAAAATAATTCACAATGATGGCTTCTCAAAACACGAGTTACGCTCATTTAAGGTAAAGCTTAATTTTAATCGGAAGAAAAATGCATGGAATCATTTGTTCAATGGAGGATGGAGTTTCGTCTAGATCTGGAACTAACTGGCTTGTTTTGAGGAGATGTGGAAACCTAGGGCATCATGGTTTGAGCACTAGGACTACTGGGACTTAAATTCTTCAAAACTTAACTCATGATGATTTTAGTGTTCCAGTCACCTGATTGGTCAATCACTTAAATTAGTTTTAAATTTAGTTAGTGTATTTCTTAAAATGTGGATTTTATTTAAGTAAAGTTTTGGCTACCAACTTCTGTCAGATGATATTCAGCCAAATTACTCAGTCAGTAATGTTATTGTAGAAATCAGGTCAAAACTAGTCAATATTTTATCAATGAGCTTCACAAAAAATGACCAAAAAAAAGAAAATCAGCAGGGAGTTCTTTAGACATCCTTCACATATTGACGGAGAGAGTTGGACATTAAATATTGTTCACTTGAATTACCTCTATATGAATAATACCCTTGTAATTTCTACGGCCCTCTATAGAATAGTTTAGATCAATGAAAGGTGTCCCTAGCGGGCTGAAGCCATTTATGTTAAACTTATCATTTGACTGAGTTTAGTGTTTGTTGGCTTTGGCTATCTTCAATAAAGAAATCATTTGATAAAGATCTGTAATTACATGGTCAACTGAACCTCCTTATTATGGGAGGCTCAAGTGAACAGTCCACTAAGTTTGAGAAGAATTGGATTTTCAAATTTCGCTCATGTTAATTAAGAGGGATGTCCATGGAATTCTTTGACCTTAGTTCCCTTTACTTAACCATCTATCTGTTTTGCTCTTAAACTTTTCTTTCAGACGGAGTCTTATTTCAGCTGTCTGTATCTTTTGTAAAAATGAAGTTTGACTTTGGAATAGTCTACATTCTAACACTCGTGTTTTAGGATGAAACTGAATTGGCCTTAAGTTGTATTTTTAGTCTTAGCTGATAGATTTCAATTTTAGCTGTCTGACATTAGATAAGTCTACAATTTAAACATGTTATTTCATTCCAGACAGCAGTTTTAGACAATCTTGTCAGTTCAATGAAGTTTGTTTTAGCAGGAATGGGCATGCTACGTGTGAATTTAGAAAACCCTAAAAATAAGGTAAGAGTATAGAATTATATCATAAACTATCAATCAAATTTAAAATGAAAATCAGAAACATTGAATCATTTCACTTTGTAGATTATCAAGAGCGTATATCATTCTGTGTTTTGGATAAGAAGCTAAATACTATGGATATGCTGTTCGAATAAATCATCATTCTCCATTCTAGTCAGCCTCATTGTAAATTAGAACGCTTCAGTCTTCAACTCTTGGTATCCTTCAGAGTGTACAGTGCTATGTCATTGAGTTCACTTTTACCCCTTTTGCTGAACATTTTTTTTTAAATTCCATTTTTTCAGTTGTATGCCCAGAAGATATTGTCCTGTATGTGTTGCTATGATAAAGAATTCCATGCCATGTTACCAGAGATATACGAAGCTTTGAAATCGCTATGGAAAGATCGAGGAATCCGATTGGCTGTTTCTAGAGGATACGAGTTTGAACTGAATGATTCTGCAATATAGTAAGTTTTAATTCTGTGACAGTAAAAATGTTATGGATTTGAAACAGATTCAGAAACCTTTTTTAATGCAATGTATCAGCCAATAGGCTACCAAGTTAGGCTGATACAGCAGATTTCGAAGAAGAGGACTATCGAAATAAAAATGAACCTTTCTGTTATTTATTCTTGGTATATCAATGCACATTTCACATATGAGCATAGCTGGCCAACTCATGGACTACATGCAAAAGCGGTAGAAATCCGTCAACATCGATAGATTACACATTTATGGCATTGTATTCATGAATGTTTTTTATTTCCAGCTATTTTGAGAACATGGATAGGATCTGTAGTATAAAGTTTCAGCCATCTTGTACAGATGTTTTACGAGCACGAGTGAGGACAACTGGTGTTATAGAAACTTGTTTTAAAATTGACGGTGGAGTTATCAGGTAGGTTTTATGTTATATTATTTCTTCATACCATCTATTCTTACTACAGGAATCACTTCAGGGATGTTATTCTTATATAATCTAGATTTTAAGAAATACAGTTATCTTATTGGATGATAAAACTAATGCCCCTCTTACACCATAGATATTAACAATTCACTTGATTTTAAATTTAAGTATTATTTGATGAATTAAGTCTATCTTGGTTTGATTCAATTTCTATTAATTCTACCCAAAAATCAAGTTGACTGCTTATTTTTGTTTTTGATTTGTACGGTATACAAAGTATTTTGAATTTCATAGGATGTTTGATGTTGGAGGTCAAAGGTCAGAAAGAAGAAAATGGATCCAATGTTTTGATGATGTTCGATGTATTTTATTCGTAGCAGCTTTAAGTTGTTATGATTTAACTTTGTTTGAAGACCCTAGTGTGGTGAGTTATATCCCTTTGGTAATTGGTGATTTTGTCACATTTTGGACAGGTCATGTAGGCACCAAGAAACTTTTTGAATTTCATTGGGCGCCTATGTTCCAATACGATCTCCTATTTTGTCTAGCTTTGCTTACTTTGTAACCTTGACAATATCACGTAGCTTAAAATAAATAGTTTGGTCATCCCTTTTAATTGTGTTTTAAATGATAACACAAAGCATTATTGTTTTATTATCCATTACAGAATCGACTTGTAGAGAGCCTGAAATTATTTCGTGGTATTGCTAATAATAGATTCTTTAATAATACAGCAACGGTAAGTTTACAGTAGTCTACTTTTACTTTTACTATTTTAAAATAACTCGTTATATTTTTTTACATGTAAACGTAGTTATCTTAGTAAATCTTCAACTTCCCTCCCGATGATAAATTCTATGACGTTGCATAAATATATTTTGGTGAGCGTTTTGAAGAGAATCTTAGAAATACCTCTTCATCACCTGTAAACTTTTCTTTTCTATTTTCTTTATTTGAAAAAAAAATTGACTGCCTGTGATTTTTCTCTGAAAGACAATATTTTCTTTCTAATTTGAATTAACAGTTTTGGCACTGCCTTAAAAGTGCACAAACCTGCATATATAGTTCTCATATTAATTTGTCTTCATAACTAGAAGGTCTAATATTGTATTATTTAACTCTTTAAACACTTCAAAATAAGATTTTGCTCTAGTATGATATTGATCTGTAAATACAACTAGACTGGCTATTGTTTGACTGATTGGAAAATCATGTGATATTACTGAAGCAGAAGTTACATTCTACAGTTCAATGAACAAAACGCATAACATTGATACTATTTCTGTGGTTAAAGTAATTGTATAATGTCTTGTATAGGAATTTCAAAACAGAACATTGAAGAACAGAAATTTGTTGTTGCTCAGATGTGATTTTTAGCTCTTAATTTTAATTTTATGTGATCTTGAGCTCTGAATTTTAATCTTATGTGATCTTGAGCTCTAAATTTTAATTTTATGTGATCTTGAGCTCTAAATTTTAATTTTATGTGATCTTGAGCTCTAAATTTTAATGTTATGTGATCTTGAGCTCTAAATTTTAATGTTATGTGATCTTGAGCTCTAAATTTTAATGTTATGTGATTTTGAGCTCTAAATTTTAATGTTATGTGATCTTGAGCTCTAAATTTTAATGTTATGTGATCTTGAGCTCTAAATTTTAATGTTATGTGATCTTGAGCTCTAAATTTTAATGTTATGTGATCTTGAGCTCTAAATTTTAATGTTATGTGATCTTGAGCTCTAAATTTTAATGTTATGTGATCTTGAGCTCTAAATTTTAATGTTATGTGATCTTGAGCTCTAAATTTTAATGTTATAATGCTCTATATACTGTATATTTGCGTGTATAATGCACAGTTTTTTACTCTTAAAAAGGCTTTAACTGCATTATACATGCTTGTGTATTATTTTCGGAAATATACCATAGAATAATAAGGCATTGCATATTAAGGACAAAGATTCAGCTATATTTTTGTTTAATAATATTTAATTTTGTTCTTTTCAATAACCTAAATATTTTTTTCAGATTTTATTTTTGAATAAGTTAGATTTATTTCAAGATAAGATTCGTCATTCTGGTCGACATCTCCGCTATTATTTCCCAGATTTTTCTGGTAAGATTTTCATATTATTTTTTCATGATTTAGTCTTTAGTGTGTGAAAAAATTCTACAAATTTTGAGGTTTTGTACCAGAACAGAGAGTAAGGTGATTCTCCCTGAAGCTAAAGCTCAACAGGGTTAGAAAGAAGAGGTTTGATTCAATCTCAAGGAAGACTGAGATAATAACTTCAGATCTTTATCCTGGTTTCCTTCTGTGAGTGATGATATGGATAAAGTTTCATAGGATGGGGCCAAAAAGACAAGATTCTGTGTGCTACAAACTGTACATCTTAAAGGAGATTTTCTATTTATGTTTATCAGGAACACTGATAGCATCAATTTGCACCATTCCAATTTTCAGTCAGATGTCTGTGGATGTCCAGCAATTCTGAAACCAATTGTTTGATGACGTCGCTTAGGGTTTTGCGTTAGTGACGTTATCAAACACTTTGTTTTATAGTCAGATTAGTTATTTCAAAATATTCCTCCAAATTTTTATTAATTTGGACTTAAATGTTACCATGACTGATTTGTTTTATTCCAGGTCCTGACTATGATGTAGACTCAGCAGCCCGATATATTCAACATTTATTCACCATGCAATGTAACAATCCCTCCAAAGTCATTTACCCTCATTTTACCACGGCAACCGATACCAGTAATATACAAGTCGTGTTTCAAGTTGTCATGGATTCTGTGTTACGTGAAAATATCAAGGCGGTGTCTATTTTATAGCGGAAGATTACATTGTTATCTATCAATATCATGTGGAGTCAGTCAGGGTCCAGTGGAGCAGAGACATTTACGCACATTCGGGAACGATCATATGATGTGATAGCGAATATAATACAAATATATATCCATAGCATCCCTACTGACCCTGCTGCAAATCTTTAAAAATCTGTTACCGTAAATAATACGTACCATGTCCAGATGAAAACATCAAGAAGTTGGGGTGAGACAGAACGTAATATTAATGTGTATTAAGAAAAACATAAAGACAAAAATTTTGAGATGCTTTTAAGAAGCAAGGAACACATTTAAGGTTGGGTTGGATAATTTTTAAATTTTATTTGAATTTATGTGGACTGCACCTGTTAATGATTTGAATCATGCCTGGATGTGAAAAATATTTCCACATTAAACAATTTCACAAATAGAATTTTTTGAACACCAGTGAAAGCTCACGCCATCATAAAATCATGTGATATATACTCAAGTGGTATGTAACGAGGACCATTATCAAAGTACATCAAACAAGTTGATTTCATCTGCTTTAAAAGCTTTTACATCTAATACCATGCTGCCATATATGACCTGTATTTTTATAGTTTGCAAGTGTGTGAATGACGTTTTGAGCTTTGAGAGTCTGTAGGGTATCATCTTTGCAATATCAAGCTATTACAAACTTCCTCTTATACCTTGACTGCAATAGCCACCTTTCTTGAATCACAGAATGCAGCATTGATTTTATTGTACAATAGCAAGTACCGCCAATCATAGCCCTATTAACATTATGGCTTATTGTCTACAGACTTTCTGTTGATCACTGTGATTGGCTGTATTTGTTTTTGTACAATCCAACCAAATCTCACCATATACAGATTTGTACATGATACAAGAATAGTGGCTATTGCAGTTAAGGTATTAGACGGAGTTAGTAATAGCTGACATTGTGAAGATTGAAGGGTATATGATGTTTTACAATTTAAATATTTTAATACTGTGTTCAAAACCAATTTAAACCAATTTAAAACTGCTATGGTTAAGAGTTGACTATATAAAAGTTAACTTGAGTTGAACCAACCTGATCTCAGTAATAATTCATAAAGAAGTTATACATATTATATTTTCTTCAACTAGTCAATCATTTATAAATATAGTACAACTAATATCATTATAACATGCTAGTATTTTTTGACAATTTTCCATTTTTGAATCATGCCATTTCTGCACATTTTCTGAAGGTTAAACAAACAATATTTTTGGTGTACTTTCCAATTAGATTCAAAAATATTTCCTTCCTTAAATTTATTTTGCAAAAGTGCAAAAGTGCCAGAGCGATTATACTTGTAAAATTGAAACAGCATTTTTTCCTTGGAATGATTTTATTGTTTTTCATATGTTAATTATTCTACGCCTTTTTATCTTGTACCTAATTATTGGAAGCATGATTTTTTAACTTAAGTTTGGCAATTATGTCATTTTGAATTATATTTATATTTTATTTATTCTTTTATGTTGTTATATTTAAGGAAATCTTGTGAAGTTTTTGGAATTTTTTTAGTGAATTTTAGTGTTATTGTTATTGTATTAAGGTCAACACAGTACATTTCAAATTATTTCATCCAGGTCCCTAATTTTCAAAAATTTAAAGGTCAACATATATGTTAAGTGTGATTATTGTTGTAGTTGATAAAAACATAATTATATTTCTTGAACTGGAGCCTAGAATTTAATAATAATCAATATAAGTTTATTTCGACTACTTACTATGTACTATGATGTCAAATTAATTATGTTATTTCTTTTAAGGCTAAAGGCCCTTTTACACCAGATCCAACATGACAGGGTGAGACACGACAAAAACATAGAAACAAGATAAATTGCATAGCTTATACACACTTACAACACGACAGGGCACAATATTCTCTGACATGACAAATTGAAGTGGGAAAATTTCTATTTTCTGTCAGGTCAGTTGCACTTTTCACTTGTTTTCAGTACAAAACTGCGATGTTAATTTTTGAGCAGATATTATCATTTGAATATACTGCAGCAATATTATATTGTCGTGCTGTTTCAGTAAATGGGTGTGTATTTAAAAAGTTGTGTCGTGTCGTGTTTTGATTGTAAAGGCCTTAACTTTTACTTTATTAACCTTTTCCAATGTTAAATTTTATTTAATAGAAAATGTAAATTGTAAAAAATAATTGTTATGTTTATGTATATACATGTATTTAAATTTGTAAATGTTGTTAATATATTTAATTATATTGTAATTAGAATTTGTAAATTATTATGAAATACATACAAATTTGTAATCATCTGTGTACATGATTTATCTCCCTTTAGTCTCCAAATACACTTTGTCAACCTGTTATTAATCTGACTGCCTCTTTAACTGCATCACACAAGATGGATAAAGCGTCTAATTGGGCTAACAGCAATGGTTCCAGTGTTCATTGAGGACATTATCTCCCAAGACATAAAGGTCTTGATGAGACAGCAGCAAACTGGGTTTTTGATTCCCACAGGGCACATGATTAAATACAAATGTGACCCCGCACATCCTATCAGGTATTAAGTTGCACTGCCCAGTAATAAGCTGGCAGTGAAGTATTAAAGGGGACTCAAATCTTGCCCCCGGGGATCCCCTGGACTAAATATAGAGCCAGAGAATATTCTATATTAATTTTATTGTTAACCATTATCCCAATAAACAAGCCCCAACACAACAACAAACAAATAAAATTAATGAGAGAGGGGGGGGGGGGGGGGGCTAATATACAATAATAATTATTATATTCCTAAACCTAACTCTACATTACAAACAATTATATCTATATACTGTAGCTAAATACATATTTGTTTACATCTTCAATTGACCAAGGTATATGTTGATGGTATATAAAGTTTATATTAGAATATAGATTTGAATACAGTGCCTTGATTATGTGATGATGCCCATGATAAAATGGCTACACACTTATCACACTTATACTGTAGCTAAATATATATTTAATAACATATTCACTTGATCAAGGTATGTTTTGATGGTCCTCATTATCTAAACTATGACCGGCTGATAAAGCTTAATCTGAACTATTACCAGCTGATAGAGCTTAATTTGAAATATATCCAGCTGATAGAGCTTAATTTTAACTATTACCAGCTGATAGAGCTCAATTTGAAATATTACCAACTGATAGAGTTTAACTTGAACTATAACCAGCTGATAGAGCTCAATTTGAAATATTACCAGCTGATAGAGCTTAACTTGAACTATAACCAGCTGATAGAGCTGAATTTAAACCTGTAGATTTTTTGACTATGGTAGCTCTAGTGCTTCCCTAAGGACATTTATTCTGGGAACTGCCAATCATGCCACAAAATGATTTGCAAGTGATGATGTATTCATTCACAGATGTCTCGTGCCAACATTAACAACTACAGGAAGAATCAAAGTGTTATTCCCATTAGGTGGCCGAGACTCAGTCGAAATTAAACAGATGTATCCCTTTAATGATGTATTATAATTCTCTATATACTATATAATTCACAGATTGCCTCCTATCAGTCCTACAGGCCATTTGTAATCCACCTTGTTTTTGCTAATTGTCATACAGTTGAGTAGGCGAGTAACTAGGTAAGGAGCTGTAATGGTATGACCCAACACTCCGAGTTAAGGTCAGTTATAAGCTGTATGACAAATGGCCTGTATGACTGATTGGAGGATACCATTTTAAACAATAGACTGCTCTAAAACATGAATAGAGTATATGTATGACATCTGATATAGTCTATAAATATCTATATATAATGGTGATATCTATAGGAAGTGCATAATGTGCTATAGTTAACTATAATGTTCAGGGTAGACCCTTAAATTTCCTCATATAAATGCAATGTGATTGGCTTTTTAAAATATTTGTGACCAATCAATGTGAAGATCTCCTTTCGATTGGCAGGATGGATAATTTTATCCAATCAAAATAAGTATAACATTAGATTGATTGGTTCACTGAGTATAAACAGAATGAGATGTAAGCCAATCAGAATTAAGTTGGAATGAAATCTTATAGAACTACAGCCAATCAATGAAGAGTATTAAAATCCTTTGATATGATTGGCCAGTTGTATCGAAGTTTAAATTTGGACCAATCAATGTAAAGCATTGAACACATTTTCAAAATATGGCCAAATTGTCTGAGTGTTTCTCCTTTTTTTTTTTACTGCACATAATTACAATTAAAAGATTCAAAATAAATGAATATTTGCACAAAAGTTCAGAATTTTTTTCGAACGTTTCTCCATACAATAAAAATGATGAAATTTCCTAAAACCCCTGAGACATATAATCAAAGCAATGTTGATTAATTAAACAATTAACATGATTTTAACGAGCTACAGTCTTTCGTCTTCTCATTTATTCCTAATCAAAATTATAAAGATAACTTTGTAACATATTACACACCGGCTTAACACTCTACACAATGATCACATATCTATATTTAACTAAATAACAGAAGTAGGTCAACTATATATATATATGCACATCCAGAGGAACAGTTCACTCTATCTAAAGGTAAATTAGGTACATGGCTTGTTTATCCTGCTTTAACTTTATAGTAAAACCCTTTAACTTTCAGATATCCTTTGAAATAGAATGAAATCTAATTTCTGTTTATATCACGTCCAAAAAATCAAAAGACATTCAAGTTAATATTTTGATAACAGAAAATATGGATGCCCATACATATATGATTAACCAACTTTACCATTTAAATTACATTTATCAATATTCAACAGAAACAAACAAATAAACAAATCCATAAATAACATAAAAGTTATACAGATTACACCTTGAATCAGAAATATACAAAATAATCTTAAATTATTACAAATAGTTACGTCTTAAAATATCAAAAAAAAATCAAAAATTAAGGATTATGGGGGATTGGCTGTTAAGTTATAAACTTTTGTATGTATCAGTAAAAGTCAATTGCATTTCTCAAATATTATTTTGTATTATTCATTATTCAATCTTGAGTTATGTAATGTCAGGGTTCTTGCAAACATATCTTTTTTTGCATAAAAATAATTCCAATGTATTTTACATTTGGTCATGCCTTCAAATCTTTGAATGTATAAGTATGAGCTATTGAAATAGTTCTAACCATAATAAAGACATTTGTTTGTTTGTTTACATTCACCAAATCTAATAGATTGACACTATACATTATTATGCTTTAACAAAATTAATATGCGCATATATTACCAAAGCTTAGCTCTTCCCAAATCCCTTAGACTTAGAATAAATAAGGAGTAATAAGAGAAAATTATAAGAAGATTTATACAAAAAACATAACAAAAATATAAAGCCATGGGCATGATAAATACTATACAATGCCTTATTCTTTGAAAACTACAAATCTTTGTAAATGTCTCCAAAATGATAACTTTCAAAACAATTAAAAGATTTCAAAGTTTTCGAGAATAAGGCCCTGACAAAATATTACTAATATAACATACTCTTTTCAGTTTACCCAATAGTAGTTGAAGATTATCAACTCTTAAACATAGGAAGTGTGATGTTCTTATGTATACTGAATTCTGAAAATTAATTTTCAAATTAAAAACACACTAGCAGAAAATTTCAGCATTGGATGGGCTCAAAGGTTTGTCTCAATGCACTAGAAATGACAAACAGGAAAAGGACTCTGGCAAACATGAGATGATATATCTGTAGATATATTAGATGTACATGTATTAATAAAAATCAAAGCCTATCAGCAACAAAAAGAAATGAATGTTATAAACTCAAGCATAAAACTAAAACAGGTGCCCTCTATTACTATACATTCATTTATTCTTTCATTCATTCATTATAATAAACATTTAAACTATAATATATACTAGAGTGGAATGGAGTTTATATTCTAACAATAACTACAGTGTCTTATATTCACTAGTATCAGCTACAAGGTTGGAAATAGAGTGCCAGACAAAAAAATAACACCCCTAGGGCTGAATGTCTCAAACTTCGTTACTTAACTTACAGAAATCTGATAGGTCAATTCTATAGCATCAATTAATCAAAGTTCCTAGTATTGTTTATGATTGTCTAAAAGCTTACAAAGTTCCTTACTAAAGCCCCAGATTTTTTGAATAAACTTACTGCATAATTTGGATTGTATTTGCAGAAATGTTAAATTACAGTAAGATTCTGGGTGTCAAGTAAGATGGCTGGCACACTATTCCCAGCCTTGCCTGATAAAATACAGATTGATACATTTCAATACAGATTGATACATTAGTAACCTACATAGGGACAATTAATGGCTCTATACTCTGCATTTTGTTAATTTGACTTCTTAAACTGCAGTATATTAGTTGATTTCTTAGACAGGTGTATATTAGTTGATTTATACTTGACAGGTATATTTAAAGCAGGTCTTGATTGCTTAGTCTTGATAATGTGGAGTATTGTATTAATGTAATGATTAAATATATTCAGCGCATAAATTAGACAAAATATGAATTATCATGAAACCTTCTTAGTGGGATTACTTAGAATGAGATTTCTCAAAATTCAGATGTGTCATATAAATCATGCAACAAATTAATACAATGTTGATTTGAAATGATGCTAAATATCTGGATATTATATCAAAGTTTTTGGTCTTTCTGATCTCATATGTGAAATTAATTTCACAATGTTTCATAAACCAACCAGATCACGGTACCACAAGTTATAATAGCAAGACCAGATCTAAACTAAGTTCTTAGTGAAATACAGGCCAAGTTTTTTAATGCCATATATACAATGAATATTTTGGAATATCAAGTGTGACATTTAAGCAAAGAATATGTGATAACTTTCCTAACCAGCAGATTTATTTAATGGAATGATTCTAGTTAACATATTTTAAATAAATCATTTTTTACATATCTTGCGTTTAACATACATTTTTTGATGCGTAATTTTGAGTGAGTATCAATTTTGAAATATATCTTTTTTTAAATTAAATTGAAGGTTTTTTTTTCAAACAAGCAAATTCCAACACCAAATTACCAAATTCAATAAATGCTAAATATATACAAAGCATAAACAGATACATCCTGGGATTTCTTGGATCTCAAATAGCCCTTACTCATCTAGACACCTGATAGGCCTTACCACTTTTCATTATGAAATACTTCCTCACTTATGATTCAAATACTTCCTTATGTGAAAAGTTCATTAGCGACTAATAACATTTCGTCAATATGTTGTTTGGATTTCAGGTTATGTTTTGTGGTTTGGATCGTTAGTACTTGGTTTATTTATTCAAAAGATGTCATTTCTAGTGTCAATCTGAACCCTTTTTTTTAAGAATTTGCGATCATTGGATGAGATCCGTGAAACCCCTCAAAATGTCTGATGTAACAGGCGAAGAAATTTGATATGTTCAATAATTTGTTTTCATACAAAAATGTTTTGCAATATTTTACATAATATTCAAGCTTAAATCAATCTTGGGGCAATCTGTCAATCAAATGCTAGCGTTAAATTTGATTATATGCTAAAAATTGAAGCTGATAACATTTTGGTGCAAATTTTTGTGCAAATTTTGAAAGAATTAAGCCTAATCACTATTAGAAATATTCCAGCAATATGCAAGACAAATATGTAGTAATCTCATATACAATAGCCAATCAAGGGAGGCAACTCTAATTATTCCCTGTACCTGTAAAGCTTGTTGAAGCTGCCATAAGCTTGCATGTTTAACATAAATGAAAGAAATCAACATTTTAACAACATAAAACTGAATTGTGTTTGATGGAAATTTGTTCATTTACCTACCTACCTATTCCTAACAAATTTAGGAAGGATGCCACCTTTTGCCGAATACAAATTTATTTTCTTAATCATAAAGTGTTATTTGGAAAATGCCAAATTTTTTGTATTAACAATGTTTTTCATAGTTATTAAGTTTCAATGTTTTAGACAAGCCTTTGATTGGAGTTTATAAAAAATACCTAACATATTACAACCACATCCTACAAATGAAGTCAGAAGTATAATGTCCATGTGTCAGATCTACAATTGAAGTCAGAAGAATAATGTCCATGTGACAGATCTACAAATGAAGTCAGAAGTCCATTTGTCGGATCTACAAATGAAGTCAGAAATATAATGTCCATGTGACAGATCTACAAATGAAGTCAGAAGAATAATGTCCATGTGACAGATCTACAAATGAAGTCAGAAGTCCATTTGTCGGATCTACAAATGAAGTCAGAAATATAATGTCCATGTGTCAGATCTACAATTGAAGTCAGAAGAATAATGTCCATGTGTCGGATCTACAAATGAAGTCAGAAGTCCATTTGTCGGATCTACAAATGAAGTAAGAAATATAATGTCCATGTGCCAGATCTACAAATGAAGTCTTATCATACAACTACAGGTATAACAACCATGTGGCAAACTTTCTACAAATGAAGTCAGAAGTATTTATCCATGTGTCGGATCTACAAATGAAGTCATAAGTATAATGTCCATGTGGCAAACTTTCTACAAATAAAGTCAGTCTAAGATCTTCAACAAAATAAAATGAATAATACTATTATACCATGACTTGTCCCAATCTAGTAGGTGTGGGGTTGGAAGTCAGGTGTTTCTTTAGGTTGACTGAATGGTTGTTGTTGATAGGGGTCGCCTGTATCACTACCGGGGAATGAGGAGTAGGGGGAGGACACGTTGGGTTCTGGGTCGTAACCACTAGCGAAAGCATCCTGAGCACCCATTCTATATTGACGTACAGCAAAGAATGTAGTTGCAGCCTGAAAATAGAGCATTCAACAACATTAAAACTAGAAGTTTCATATTGAAAGTACATGATTTCATTGTATTTACCAGTCAACTATAATAATTATGAAATCCAAACATTTGTTTTGTTTTTTTGTGTTATAATCTTTATTTACTACAACACCCTATGAATTGGCCTGGATTAGCATAGCGTAGACCTAATGGAAACAAATTCTTCCTGTTTAATTGTAAGGGTTTAAAATAGTCATAACTCAGCTGCCATTTGGAAACAAAGATTCTACTTGTTGGGCTAACCACAAATCATTTCCACTACAAGTTCCATTTGGCCCACACTCCTTCCCCATAGAACAAAATATCATACATACCCAAGTGAAAATAGAGAAGAAAGCGAAAGCAATGGCTGCTTGAATATTGTCCTGAGGATTGTGTTTAGGGTTGTAGTAATCAGCATTTACATCAGTTTTCCTCCATGCATCAGTTAAAAAACAAAATCCTACGAACCATAAAAATGTCCATAGACCTACAAGAGAGATAAAAATGACGTCACTTATCCAAAAGACGTTAAGCCACTCTGCAACTGGAAATGTCAACTTTATATTCCATTAGAAGTTCTGACTGGAAAATAAACATAATTCAACATATTCTTGCTATTCTGGGGCAATAACTCCAACATCCATCACAAAAATCATGAAAATCAATCATATTTTTGTTCAAATATGTGAATGCACAGACAGACTGAAAGACACCAATATTAGTTCACAGCTTAAGTACATTATGAAAAAAATACACCAGGCTTACCTGATACTCCCATATCAGCCATTACAGCATACTTCCTATGTTGAATACTACTAAGATTTTCAAACATGGCATCCACGACTAAAAATCCGATACATATTAAAAATGCTAGCACCCCTATACCAACTCCATATCCACACGCACCACTATTGTTCATTTGACACTGATTTACATAATAACCTCTAGATGATATACACCCAAACACAACTATAGAAAATATCTGAAATATAAATACACAAATATAGAGATATCTGAAATATAGACAAACACCCAACTATAGAAAATATCTGAAATATAAACTAACACAACTATAGAAATAACTGAAATATAGACTAACGCCCAACCATAAAAAATATCTGAAATATAAACAAACACAACTAAAGAAAATATCTGAAATATAAATACACAAATATAGAAACACACACAAATATAGAATATATCTGAAATATAAATAAAGACAACTATAGAGATATCTGAAATATAGTCAAACACCTTACTATAGAAAATATCTGAAATATAAACAAATACAAATATGGAATAAATCTGAAACACAACCATATCTGAAATATAAACACACACATCACAAAACTATAGAAAAATATCTGAAATATAAACCAGCACACTATCATAGAAATTATTCTTGATATAAATTATACAAACAATCACAGAAAATATCTGAAATCATATACGAACACAATATCATAGAAATATCTGAAATATAAACACACACAACAAGAGACTGAAATATACAGATGTAAATTATATCCAGCCTTTCCAATGTTTGGAAAGTTTTATTAAGATTCCAGATACAAAGATCTTTGACAGTCTTTCTTATTCATATTTAGTCATTTATTTCAGTTTCATTTCAAGTGAGACCAAAAATCTATAGATTCAAATTTTTGTTCAAAATAACATTTGTCACTTTGCAGTTATCAGCTTATTAAATCAAATGTTCAGCAATTAGCATAATCCATCTGAATAATGGTCTAATTAACCTCATCCTAAAATCATACATAATTGGTAACTACTGTATACCAATGATTGACTATTGTGGACAGAAAGGTGATTATCATGTTGATTATTGTCAATGATTAACATAGATTATCACTCTAATCAGACTGCAAATTACATAAAAATTAGACAACTGATATAAGCCTTGGCAACATAAGTTTTAAAATTTGAATAATTCTATGAGCACTTTTCAATCAAATCTTTCTTTGGATAGAAAACCGTTTAACCAGCTAGCTAGGCCTGTTGGCATGTAGTGGTTTGCCCCCTTTACAAGTTCGTCCCATAGTGGTTTAGACAAGAATAGTTCCTTTAAAGTTAACAACTTTCCTTATTAAGGTTACTTTACTAAGATTTCGGTTTATGTTTTTTTTTTTATATTCATGATTATCATAACATTCTGATAGCTATTATAATAACAGTGTTTCAAACAAGTAGCATGCTTTGACAATGAGCCCCAGCTGTTGTAGATGCTGGATAATAAGCTTATATATGTATGATATACCAATGTTCAAAATCAAAGAAGTGATATAGTGAGGTACGGTATGTCAAACACTTTATCTTCAGTTTGCTGCACCATATCAATGTCTTTTGATGCTTTGTTTGTTGTCCTCTATGACGACAAAATATAAACTTAACTTTTATTAAAATTAAAAAGACATAGAATCAGATATTTCATGGCTTTTACTTCACCACAGTAAGAGTATGCTAAGCCTAGTTCAAAACAAAATCTATCGCGTGCACTATTCGTTTTTCGGATTTTACTACAACATTTAATAGCTCTAAACATGATGATTGAATATTTAAGTTTCCTTTCCAACAGAAAAAAAGGAAGAAGAATCTCCATTCATTTAATCAATATAACATTGAATGAATTCTATCTATCTATAAACTACTGAGTACTGTATAGCCCAGTCAGTAGATCTATTTATTAATGGTCATGCAAATGTGAATCATAAATATATTTTTATCCAGTTCCATCTTCCTACTGCAAAACTGATAAGAATAACTCCACATAATCAAAGAAAAATATCTTTAAAGTTAAAAGAATGGTTGACATCTATCAAGGTTGTTATTTATCCAATATAGAAAGAAATCAAAGCAACTATTAGGAAAGATCAATAACTCTACAGCTCCAAACTTGCAGTGAAAGTCACAAAAATAGTAATGGTTCCATCGAGTTTTAGGCTGTAAATCAGCCATTTTGAAATGATATCGCTTAAATTAATCATAAATCTACCTACCAAAGACGCTAGTCTCAATATAACCTGAGGTTTTTTAATATAAGAGAGGGGATCAAAAGCCCCACCGGCTTTTCCTGCACCATAGGCACCTCTTTCTTGCTGTGGATTCGACATTTTGCCTGCTGCGAATAATGTGATCACAAAAACCAATGACGTCATGAAATATCATTTATTTTTGTATTTTTTGTTTGGGGAACTTGATTGACCGGTTCATTATAGGATTCATTAAAACAGCAAATTCCTTAATTGTTATTCTTAATTAATTATTTCTTATCAGTTTGAAATTTTTTAGGACTGAAATCTATTTTTAGACTACACAATTTTGTGACGTGTACACATCATTGCGCCATCATCAAGAAAGGACGTGTATGAAATTTATATAAGTTTCCCATTTCCGTTTCGATTTCACCATTTTTAGCCAACAAATACAACTCATTTTAAATTCAAATATTCTGTGAAGTTATTACATTAATTTCTACAATATTCAAGAAGATGGAACGATCCCAAAGCGTTGAAGTTTGTACCGTTTGCCATGAACACATGGATATTTTGGCCATTGGTGCTTGTAATCATCCAATTTGTTACAGGTGTTCCAGCAGAATGAGAATTCTCTGTGAACAGATGTACTGTCCTATTTGTCGAGGACATCTTCAAAAGGTAAATATTAAAATTTTTATTTGATTCATAGATTCACAGTGCAATTAGAAAAGTTTTCTTGTGTTAGGTAGAATTGTAAAGATTTTAAATCAATCATCTGCTATTAGAAATAGCAAACTCAGCAATGTCAACTCAAAGTTGAACTTAAGTTAATGGAAGATCTGTTTCAGTGTTTGTCATTGTCGTCTGCTGTAAGATTATTCATTGAAGTGTGAAGTTTATCTTCATCATGAAACATTTCATTACTTTGTCATTGATAATAAAGCGTGGCTTAAATGTCATTGTAGGCTATATTAAGAATATTGTTATATAAGATAAGCTTATAATGTTTTTAAACATAGTCTCTGATAGCATTTGGAATCAGTGTTAACATGATAAGGCGGTTTAGAGTAAAGCATATTCTCTGTAGAAATATTCTTTCTAACACATTAAAAAATGTATTGTATTTTTGGAGTTTTTCTTGTTTAAAATTTGAATAATTAATGTCCAGAAGCTGTTAGATTTTCTCTCTTCTTCTATTTCAGGTTTTATTTGTGAAACAGTATGATAAGTTTGAGAAAGTGAACACTGAGAATTTTAAGGAGGAGATTAAATTTATTTATTTAGAAAGTGAAGATGTAGAGAAGGCTTTTAAACAGTTATTGACCATCCAGTGTAAAAAATGTCCGAACAGACCAGCTGATAAGTCTATTGATAGTTTGCGAGATCATCTGAGAAAGGAACACACGCTATTCTTATGTGATCTTTGTCTCAATCATTTAAATGTAAGTTGAAAAATATTATTTTTCAGACTGGGTAATGGCGAGAATTTTTTTTGATAGGAAATATTTCAAAGTGAAGACATGGGAATTTACAAAGTTTGAATGATTAATGATCTTTCTCATTTTCAGGAGTAATCAAATGCACTGAAAATTATCATCTAGCAGACGACAAACTCAAAGTGGAGAAACTCACTGAAAATTCATAAATTGAGTATGATGGAGTGAGAGCAGACACAGGCACTGGCATAAGAATTTTTGTTTCCTGGAGGAGGAATCAGCACCTTATCGTCTAGCAGACGACAATCCAATTGGCTACCGACTGAACTATTCCACTGCCACAGGATGTAAGGCATATTATCCAATTAACTGAACTCACTGAACAAGGTTTCAATTACTATTCCCTGATAAACATTTTTTCTTCTTTCAGATATTTCCATTCGAGAGAAAGTTTTACAATCGTAAAGATTTAGCAACGCATCGTCGAGTTGGAGACGCTGATGACAAATCGTATAAAGGTCATCCATTATGTGTGTTTTGTGATGAACGTTACATGGATAATGATGAATTGTTAAGACATCTACGTAAAGATCATTATTTCTGTCATATTTGTGATGCGGATGGGTCAAATGACTATTATAAGTAAGTAATTTTCTTGTAACTGTGGCAACCTGGATCTAGGGGTACTAAAATGTCTTTCAATAGGTATTAGGGGGTGAAGAAAGCCAATTTGCAGAAGCAATGGCACAGGCATCAGAATTTATCTTACTTGGAGGATTCAGACCCAGGGCTGTCTAGCAGATAACAGTCCAACTCACTTCCAACTGAAAATAGGGTTACTGTTGGAAGGGTTGGCGTCGCTTTCCTGGAAATGGCAGTAAAAATAGAGGTCAGATTGACTCAAAGGGGACAATTGCTGGAGTTGAGATTCCACTTTGGAAGCAATGTGGAAGCTCCATTGGCTGAAGAACTGGGCGTGATGTTTTCTGATTGCTATAATAGGCTTATCACGATACTTACTGCAGTGTTGACCAGTGTATTGATATATGTGGACTATTGTAGACATAAGCTTTAGTTAAACAGCACCAAATATGGATTTTATATTAACAAGGTAGTTTTGTATCTATATATCACAGAGGGAATATTACAAGCACTTGTGTATCACTGACAACCAGATATTATATCTGACAAGGCATTGTGTGATTTGAAATGGAATGACCTCAAAATGACAAAACGAAATTTTTTTATTTTTCAGTGATTATCCAGACCTCAAAACCCATTTCCGTGATTCTCATTACCTGTGTGAAGAAGAGGATTGTGGGAATCCAACCACTCAGTTCACAAACGCGTTTCGTAATAGTATAGACTTCAAGGCTCACAAAGCTTCTCACCATACTAAAGGCATGTCTAAGTCACAGATACGTGAAGCTAGTCGTTTGGAGATAGAAATTCAACTCCCACCTAGACGACAGGGCAGAGATAGAGGTAACTCTTACCTATTTTTCATATTGGTGTTCCTTGGGCCTTATTTAAAGTTGAATATTTAAAAAATCCAGATTTTAAGAAATATAGTGAACGAAGCAAGATTACAAATTTGAAATCTACGTTATGATCAAGTCTCAAGATTAAGTCAACTATTCTTGTTCAATGGATGATAGTTTGAAGTTCATTTGAAGCTGATTTTCAAATTATCATGTCTTATAATAAGTGGTAAAATGCGATATACCAATGGACTTGCAAAAGGCAGTAATCTAAGAAATACTCTAGCCAATTAGTTCATAGATAGAATTTCGGAAACTAATTAATATATTTCTTTATTATTTATAAATTGTTAACTAATTTCTGTTAATTACAGGCAGAATAACTGGTAGAGATTATGAAGAAATGCATGAAGCTAACAGCAGTGGGGGTGGGGCACGAGGAAGGGGAGGCTATAACGGACCTGGGTCATCAAGAGGGCGTGGTCATCGTAAACCTGACATGTATCAAGAGTAAGTATTTAATAGTTTTTCTCATATTCTTATTTATTTTCAGGAAATATTTTCAAAATTGACTCGAGAGCTCTGGTTTTGATTTTTTGTAAGTCTGTAACGAACATTGCGAACAGAGATTTGACAAAAAAAGCACCTTGAATTTGTCCACTTCCGACTCTCATCAGTGAAGTCATTGATATTAAAATTACATATTATGACAGTCATAAATGGTCTCTGATATCAGCATCTGCTTCTCATCTACCACCCAACAGTCATAGAAATAAATACCATGAGTTAACCTCCAAATAAGAATATTCATAAAATTCTCTTTTTTTACTTTCAGGAACCAGGAAGAGCTGGAGAGAGCAATTGAGGCATCGAAACGAGATGCACCAGGGGTGAAAAAAATGTCCTGGTCAGCTGAAGATATTCGTCAAGATTTCCCAGCTTTGTCCAGTCAAGAAGCCACATCAACAACAGCGAGTACTCCAACAACCACGTCTGCGGTTACAACAACGTCAAGTGCTGTTGATAATACAAATTCAGCTCCAACTACCAGCATGGCCGCTCGCATCAGTAATGATAAAATGGACGATAGTTCGAAAGCTTTCCCACAATTGAAGAAAAATAGTGCTAAAAATAACACCAAAAGTGAAAAATCTGGTCGGAACTCTCCAAATGTGAAGGACAAAAAGAATACAGGGAGAACATCCCCTGTTGCTAGGGTAATGCAACCGGTGCCAACTTCTAAGAAAGTAAAAGAGGAGGACTTTCCCGATTTAGCATCCAGTAAAAATAGAAATTCCAATTTAATAAAATTAGGTGCTTGGACACAAAGTAGTCAGCGAACTGATTTGGTGCGACCAAATATACAAGTTGAACCTCAAAAATCAAATTTTACTGTTCCTAAACCTAGACCTCAAAGTGCATCGAATTCTCTTGCATCTGTTGGAATGTCTCTATGTTCCCAAAGTTCTTTAAGTACGAAAACTAAGGAGCCAAAATCTAGTTCTAATACAAGCAGTGCCAAACCTGTGAACATCAAAAGTAGTGATTTTCCAACTTTAAGCTCTAAACCCATTGAACCTATAATTATGAAAAGTCCAAGTAATTTTCCAACTTCGAGTTCTAAGCCTGTGGAGCCTAAAACTATTCCCAATACAAACACTGGCAAACCTGTCAACACTAAAAGTCAAAAAGATTTTCCTTCTTTAGGTGGTGGGAAACCCCCACAAAGTGTTACTAATAATAACCTCTCATGGGGTCAAAAGAAAAATAAAAAACATCAGCCGAAAGTGTCTCGTGATGACGATTTTGAAATTCCAACTGCAGCTTTAGAAAATCCGCCTCCAGTTTTGGAAATTAAAAAGGAAAGTGAACCCAATCCAAACAATGATCAGAATTCAAAAAATAAAAAGAAGAAGAAAAAGAAAAATAAAGAAATGGGAGAGAACTCTGAATCAAATGTTGAAAATGTGTCTCCATTACCTGCCAGTAATGCCTCTGACAAACAAAAACATTCAAAGGATGTACCGAAAAAACAAAATGGTGGCAAGAAGGATAAAGGGCCAGCTGCTACATTGGATGGTATCGCAATGGGATTGTTAAACGAAGAAAAAGATCGTGTTTCAACCAATTCTTCCAAACAAAAAGATGCTTCAAAAATGTTACCAAAGAAAACCAAGGAAATTGATTCAATGGATTTGCCAAAAACTGCTACCTCATCATCTAAAGACTCCCCTGTTCTTGTGCCTAGTTTACCTGCTACGGCACTCCCAGTGCAAAACATTTCCTCTTTAAATGATTTCCCAAGTCTATCAGCATCTGTCAAATCTCCTCCCCCAGGGTTCCAAAAATCAGGAAAGAAGCCTCCACCAGGATTTAGTAGCAGTGGACCAAGTCGACCACCTCCTGGATTTTCAAAAACAGAGGACAAAATTTCTGAATCAACTCCAGACCCAGTTGTCAAGTCTTCATACACTTACATCCAGCCAGCCGAATTTCAACAACGAAACCAAGCCTTGGTTAAAAAAGTCAAAGAAGCTTTGTCAGAGCCTGAAAACTTTGATGAATTCAAAACAAAATCGTGGCAATTTCGTCAGAATGAGATCATGGCCTCTGAATATTATTATGGATGTGAAAGATTATTGGGAAAGGAGAAATTTGGAGCGATTTTTGCAGAATTGTTGATTTTGTTACCAGACATTAAGAAACAGCAAGATCTTCTAAGTGTTCATCATCAATCGGTGAAAAAACTCAGCAACAATAATGTGTTACGCATCAGTGGGAAATCCCAGAAGGCACCTTGGTCCGCTTTCAGCGATTTTCAAGTCTGCCCTACCTGCAATCAAGTGTTGCTACATAGCGACAGTGCGTCTCATGCGTCAAACCATTCAGCTAGTGATTATCCTGCCCTGGGTCGAGCTAAAGGTGCTAATGACTTTATCAACAGAGGTTCGTGGGTGGCTGCTAAATAACCCTGAGCAGAAGGGGAGTTTGTAGATGAAAACTCCCCACTAAAAATCCCTAAATAGTAGGCCTATTTTAGCATTGAATTGTCTGGCCAAGTATCAGAGTTCCCTTTCACAATAAATCTTTTAATCAAGTTGGTCCTAAGGTACTTCTCAATGAAAAAATTCACATCTTTCGAATTCTTTTCTCATGTTTTGCATCCATATTAACTTGTTGCTGATAATGCTTTATAAAGTATAGAGTTTTGCTCTTTAAATTCTAATAATGTGTGGGATAGAAATTCCGAAATCTGCTCAAATTATTTTAGTTTCAAATATCTATTTTTTACTCCTCGTACTTGATTTAACAATGTTCTCAAAGTTACCATGTTTAGAATAATTTCATTTATTGTTAATTCTTTTTCAAACAATGTAAAACCCTGATTGAGCAGGTCGAAGCTATCTGTCACCTCGGCCTTAATTATCCTGGATTGGACAATTAAGTCCACTGCATACGTTTACACAAACGGCCATGCTTTCAGTGACAAGATTAACACATTCAATTCAATTTATTTTTCTGACATAATGATGACATCTTAGATTATTATATTATGTTATTCCTGTAGAACTAAAAGATTGTAGGGGTTTAGAGACTGTATATTCCAATGGGATGGTGGTTGCTTTTCTGGTTAAGGGATTTTTAAACCTGATTCTTCTTGATTTCATATCTCAATCAGTTTCATTATTCATTATGATCATGTTATATCATGTAAATCATTGTTTTCCTATTGTCAAATTCTTGTATCCTTTCGCATGGGGTTGTAGGTTTTTGATAGGTCTGGACTGATCATTTGACAACATGTGAGAGTCTGGTGACCTTGAATAAGTCTTTTTTATTTTCTTTCCATGTGTCAGTCATTTCAGATAAAAGCTCCAAACGCGTTTTCCAAAGCTGGCAGAAAACGTAAATATTTTGAAAAGTACATCTGGCAAAATGTGATGGTGTTTTTCAGATATTTTACCTCTTTTTGGATATAAAGGTTACAACTTATTAATCATTTTTCAACTCAAGATATGAAATGAATTTTAATTTCACCATTTTGTTTTTTTTTTTTGCAATAGTTCAAAGTTCATTTAGTGTTTTAACTGGCTGCGTATATGATTGCTCAGATATATCTGATCACAAAACAGAAAGTTGTATGTGTATTTATACTAAATGCTATTAACTTTTTTGACTGGTATGTCAAATGGATTAAGATATTTTAAAACTTTATTACAAATTAAGTACTAACTGGTCTAATAATGTATAGCCAACTGCTTTGCTATTTTTTGTTATTTTTTGCTGGGTGATTATAATTATATTTGGCTTATTAAGATGATATTTCATTTATTGATTCATTGGTTCATTCACAAGCATTAATTAGCTGCATTATTTTGGTAATAGGTGAAAACTCTAGAGCTTTGAACTTTGCTTTCTAGGAAATACACATTAAACGCTATACAGTTGAGGTGTATGAAACACTTGCTAACAACTGCTTTGCTAGCAATTTGAAATAATATTGTGTAACACATTCTTGTGACTGTGGCCAGTGGTTCTATAACACCAAATACAAATTTTCGGTTTGTTTTTGAAGCCACAAATCTGGTTAAGAAAAGAGCGAAATGTTTTTGAAAATGTTTTGAATGTAAATAGTATAATATATTAACTATAGCAAGCAGCTATAATATTTTATGATATTGTTAAATTTGTTGTTAAATCTTACTGTATATAATGTATTATATATTTCTAATTATTTCACATCAAACTTACATTGTAATGACCGCTTTTAAAAATATAAAAATCGGATAGTTATTCTGGTTGTTATTTGTCTTGTGGACTTGCAGATATTGTAGAGGAGTTAACTTTTGTAGATGAGTTAATAAATTAAACAACCAACAAGTTGACATGTAGACGAGTTGACATGTAGACGAGTTGATTGGTAATCTTAAGTTACCAGCCAGCTGTCTACTCTCGAAGCACATGGTTTATTCACAGTTGTACAAAATTATAAGCCTGCTGGCATCTACATCTTACTGTTGTCAGGAAGAATAACAATATAGGGGATGTTCACAGCTGGAAAATAT